CGTTGGCAGTACGTAGTTGGCGATAGACCGAAGGGGACGCGTGTGTTTGAAACCAACGAAAAATCGTCTGGAAAACCCGTTACTTCTTCAGGTATGTGAGTGTGTCGTTACGTTCGTATTTTATCGAGAAAGAGAAAAAATTAAAAAAGGGGAGATTTCGTGTAAAATAATACATTTTGATACAAAGATACCTTTTCTTTCATATATTAATATAATATATAAATAGGCAATAGAAATTGGACGTTATCGAATACATGGCCGGGTCAACTGGTTTCATCCAACAAGTTTGTTGCGCGTAACGATAAATCGATTTTCTCACGTGTTAGAATAATCCGATCACCGGATTTATCGGATAAAGAAACGGTAGCGGAGTTCAAAGACGAATGTTTCACTGACCGAAGGTATACATTTTCCGTGAAACGAAGATGCGAAAGTTCACCGAGTTGCCGAATAAATATATCACCGACATTGGCAGTGTTCTCCTCGAAGCCTTTGGCTTCTATTCTCGGACGAATCCGTGGTGCATCTCGTTTTACGAACAGAAATAGCCGCCTGTATTTTACCTTAGCTAAGAAGATTTTATTAAATCTTTTACTAAATATTTCTTTTGAATCAATGTTAAATTCTCGATATTACTCGATTTTTTAAAGAAATTTTGTTCGTTAGATAGCATTATCAGTTTGCCACTGTTCGCGAGTTTAAAGAGTAGTGAACAATTAACTGTGACGTATCTACGTAAATAATTTTATCATCAGAGGTTAAACGGACAGGAGAATATGACCAAAGTATATAAACATTGACGAATATGAACAAAGCATTGTAGACGCGGACAACCGGATTTGTATACAAGAATTGTTTCGTCCTGGCAGTGTCAGCTGTAATTCGATTACAAGCCCCGCTTTCGAAGTAGTGCACGCGTCTCATGTACAAAATATCCTAATGCCACGTTTGGTATATTTGCATTAAGAGGTTCAACTTCGATATTTAGATATTTGGATTGGTCGACGCAAATTTGGAGAGTTTCACGTATCAAGATCGTCCGAGCAACGCCGGAAGACCAGCGGAAGTGGGAACTATATATCCTATCTGTTTCTGAATTTGTTGCGTGAATCCAACTCGTCATCTATGGACCAGGTATTGGCTACTTTTCCATCATGCGTGTCACGTATCGAGCTTCAAGGTGGCAAGTCTCTTAGCAAAAGGGGTGACGCTACGATCGAGACGTTCGTGCTCGTTGTTATATTAAATAGCGAGACTACGAATAAGCATCGAGCGAATACGTTCGACAGAAAAGTTGAGTTTCGCATTCTTTTGGAAGCTTCGTTATCCAGCCGCGTTCGGAAACATCTTTAAAACAAGCACGAGGAGAGAGCTTCGACTAAACTCTAAACGAGATTAACCTCGATTGGAACGATAGAGCGCGATCGAATGGCCGGTGATCGGGCATACAAAGCTTGAATACTAATTTTCTTCGCTATATGCTTACTTGATGTTGTTTCAAAAGACTACTGCGTAGGAAAAAACCGTGATATGTCGCGTATTTGATTTAGCGAGCATTATTATTCGATCGAATCTAAAGAGAACGAACATTTATACAAAGGGAAACGGGGAACATGATCACCGTTCGAATGGTCGAACCATTTGCGTAAACCGCTCGGCTGAGCTAACTGTTCGTGTTATCCGCATTTTTTTCCCAACACTTAAGTAATTGTCGTGCAGCGAGCGATAACGTAATTGTACGAACTCAGTCGAGTGCAACGTATTATTTTTTATCTTTTTGCGTCTCGAGCAAGCTGTCCTCAGCATATGTTCCCTGATTGATAAAAGATACAACTCCATTGTAACGTCGATTACTCAATAATTGCATAATCAGAAAACTATATAAGACGGCATTAACTTATATAAGTTAATTGCCGCTCAGTTTTGATTAGAAGTTTCGAATTGATCGAAACATTGATTAATCGGTACTTACACGTGAAAACGATGCTCTTATTATTGTCAAACGACTCGTACAGTATTACGAAATAAAAATCTCAACGTGAACAGGTATTAAACGGTACGTGAGTCTATCTAGTACGTTTGAAATAATCATACTTCCGCGCATAGATCGATTCGAAGGCGTATCCTGTATAATTATCCGCGTAAATCTCAATTAATTCCAGGGTACGACAGAGGGTTCAATGGTAATCGATACATTTATATGTCGGTTAATAGATTTATTACGCAGAACATGTTACACTCCGGTTTCAAGGTAAACTCGCATGAATGTCACTCGATATTTTTGCCATAGATCAGCTGATTCAACGATATATCAAGAATTTTTTAATTACAGATATATATGTATATAGAAAATATATAGTGTATGAAATTACGAATCATAACGCGTAGATTGAGGATCTCGTCTATATATTTGTGTCTCGTGTTTTGAATAAAGGTTACACGATAATTGTTGATAGGTGAGCAAATGGTTCGAAGGAAAAAGAGAAAGAAAGTCATCTTGACTTTATGAGTCATGACTTTTTAAAGCAGGTACTCTATACTCGAGGTAAATTTACATGCAATTATTGCTACTTTATTCCGATTGGTTTGCATTTACGGATCTGGCACCGCCTCTGCTAGTCGATAGAGAATCATTTATGTGTACACGTAACACGTATCGTGATCTCTTAACGGATGGATGATTAAGTTACGACCATATATATCATTGATCGATCGACTAACGTTAGGAAGGGATTATTAATGAGCATTAAAAATCTATCGCATAAATCAATAATGCGTATCGGTCAGACCAAGTTGAATTCAACATTTTTTAAACTCGATGAATTAGCTATGAACATTGCTATTTGAAATTTGTAATATCATTTTTTCCGTAACTTATACGGCTTACGTTACTCAATGTCCTAAATAACGGTGCATTCGATACGCGTATCCTTCTACGCCTCTCAAGCAATTCAAGTTCTGATTGAATAAAGAGACCCGATCTATTCGCGTCTAAGAAACACATCAATGGTATAAATAATTGCATCAATCATAAACGCAACGACACGTCGCTGACAATAACACCTTCGAGATAAATCAAAGTCGGACAATTAATTCTTCCATCGGTCTACACGATTTTTCATATCGCCACCTCCTTCCCCTTTCATCTTTTTTCAATGGGATCACGCGATGCAATGGCTGCACTTGTTCCAACTTGTTTGCACCATTATCGTTTCATCTCGGACTAGCGGCGAATGATTTGTAACAAATTTGCTCAGGAAAGCGTAGAACGATGAAAAGACACGATAGAAAACACGAGAAGGAAGATATAGTGAAAAAGGTCAACGTTGTCTGACCACGGAGATCGTTAGCGGTTTAACACCTCGTATCGAATCCGGTTCGAAAGGATTCCTAGAAGAAACGAACGATTGTTATATTTCATTGTCGTATGCGTTAGCGATCGCCTCGTTTATCAGGCCCCGCGATCAAAGGCTGCAGAAACCGGTGATTGTATTCGCGTTGTCGACCATTACAGAATACCTAGCAATGTCCATCGGAGGTCCGATCGAAAGATCACCGGACGACCGACAGGATGTCCATGTAAACGCCTTTAGAAAAATGAAAGAAAAATGGGTCAAGAACTCTAACTGAGCTTCACATTGTTACAAAGATCTTGAAGGTTGCGAGTTACTATCTTTTTTTTCGTTTTTTAAATTCAATATGACATCGAAAGAGGATATGGAACGATACTCAATGCCCGGCAACTAAAAGTCGACGTCATTGAATGCCACCTAAGGCATGGCTACGGTTCTCTTCGCTGACCTTCGCGGGTTTAGATCGACGACAGTTCCGTGACTGGTCCAGAGCACCTTTTGCGTTTCGTATAATTCAGTGGAATTACATAATTCGAGGGTAAATAACCTCAGCTCCGAATCCGGTTCGCGCTTCGTGACAGATTTCTTTTGTATCGCCGAGACAAACGGTGGTCCACGTGACCAGACATTTCTCGAAGCGGAAAGTCAGCACATTCGATAATCTACATCTTGAAAGTTTGAACGGTGCCTCCACTAGCCTTTGATTGGTATTGCAGTAGATCGACGGTAGGGAAGAAAAGGACGAAGGGACGACGTAACACGCGAATCGACTTTCAATTTCGAAAGACGGTATTAAAGTTCGAGCTATTCGATATCTACGCGTGCATTGGCAACCGACACACAAGCCCCTTCCTTTGCATTTAAATAAAACCGCGATATCTTTCTATTCTACGCGAACGTTTTGATCCGTACCAAGTGAAGTAAAAGCGAAACGTTCGAGAAGATACTCGGTGATTTTCCGAAACGAATGCGTCTTTGCGAGTTTAATCGGTTTTCAGTGTCACGAATGTCTGTCAACGCGTGAATGACGGAAGTCGATTTATCGGTAAACGTTGTCCAATTATTTTTCTATCTTATCTATCGCCGCATATGTACACTGAACTTGAATTAAACACTTTGCGCCGGAGCGGAAGAACTCGCTCGTCCACCGACGCAAATACTAAGAAATTTTTAATGTGAAAGGAAAACCAATTGGAGCTTTCTGTAGGCACGAAACTGTTATATTTCCGTGTCACGTTGCAATATGTACACGAATTGTGAGAAAACGTGACAGTTGTAATATTGTACGGGATTTTATTGCGTATCGCGGAATGTCATGGCAGCTTCGAGGATAATCAAGTTAGTTAATACCATTCATTCTTATAGGACCCTATCGTGCGCCAGGGTCTTATGATATATCGCTGAGTAATTGGCATAAGTAGTAATTTCACTCTTTTTTTTAATTTCTATTAAACGTCGATCGCGTGTCTCAGGCAAATATGGACATGTGTTTAACGCATATTATTTTTATGCTTTTTGCCTCCCTGAATCGATTCATTTGCATAAGCGATATTAAATGCTAGAAGCTGTACAAATGTATCTGAAATATTAGATCTTCCCTCGGTTGTTGGGTCCATGGTAAATTACACACGACATCATCGATAATCAAGAGACTCGAAAGAGGAACTCGCGCGACTAATTATTAGCGGAAAGAACGGAAATACGTCGCGAGAGAGATGATCGAACGTGTACGCGAACGTTATGTAAAGTATCCTTTCCAATTCCTAAAAGATGCATATCAATCTCGCTTGAAAAATGTTCGTTTCCTGGCGAAAAGATCGATTGCTTAAGAGACAAACCATACGTATAACGAAAAAATATAAGAATACAAAAAGTCGAGCAAGACACGCTGACGATCAAATGCCGATATTTCTGATCGCTAAGCATCCTAAACAGTATTCGTCTGTCCTTGAACCTGTAAGAATGGCTTTTGCCCGTACTGAGAGTATATAAGACTGACGACGTCCTATCACAAAGCGCAGTGTTAGATTACCACCTCGACGTCAAGAACGAGCCTCGCGTTATTGACAAACTCGACGGTGTTTCTACATTCAGTGGTCAATTGAATCAACAATTGTCATCGTTTCGAAACGATATCATCGCCGAAATTTTAACAAAACCGGTTTCGAACGTATAAGATTCACGTTGAATATTACATTATGGAAACTGCGCTATCTACGGACTTGGTCAATTCTGCTCGTAGCGATGTCGGCAAGAGTCAAACCACTTTCGCGAAAGATGTGCCGAAAATGGTCAAGTATACGGTAAGCTGGCAATATTTTTCGCTTGGAGATCCAACGATATTGCATTGCGATAAATTTTACTAGCGCGATAGCTCTTTTCGTTGTATCCGACCTGACTGGATCATACGTTAATATAGTAGATTTAATAAACATAAGATTTTTCTAAACGATACAAACTTAAGTATCACGTTCTCGATAATATTCGATAATTTTGTCTATATACATTGGGTGTCAATAACTAATTTAAAAAAATATCTACATCGAAATGATTAAATCGCGAAACCGAGAAAATGTACAATATGGTAATAACAGTATAATATTATTGATGAGGCTTTTCTTTAATGTCCTGTACAGATGGTGGAACGAATTCTTTTACAGCGAAAAAGACGTAATTGTGATTCTGGAAATCAAAACCTACTCAACTTGTATTAACTGTCACGAATCATTGCATCGAAATAGATTAACCGTAATTCAGCCCTCGCCAAAGTTGGTCATTGATGATCAAGATAAAGCGTTGCGCAAAATAAGAACACGTCGCGAATTGCTACGTTAATTGTTGCGTGTGAAAGCGTTAATTCAATTCCCGTTGTCGCGAAAACAATGAATTGTTATTGTCCTGGTTGCATTAAGTTACGTTTACTTATATATGCATTGTTGCACCATACATTGCTATGCAGAATTCGTGCAATCAGATATGCTGCTACTTTGTCTAAGCAATGATCCAACTACCAACTATCAACAAGCGTAATCGAACAATTTATGCGAATCTTTACACATTTGCAACTTTCGTAAATCTTTTCTAAATTTCTTGTCTGCTTTAGCTGGCTGATTCAGCGAACAGCGAAAGAACTGACATGGACTATCAGATTCAATCGGTCACTAAAGATGATAAGCTCAGGGTACTTAACTTTCTCAAGCGGTACTTCTTCAGAGACGAGCCGCTCAATCAATCGATCCAATTGCTAGCAGGTAGAGAAGACTTCACTTGCACGGAATTGGAGGAGTATAGTCTAACTTCCCTTGAGAACGATCTCAATCTGATAGCAGTCGTACCGAACGGTACTTTAGTTGGTGTAGTATTAAATGGTAAGAATTTGATCTCTGAGTATCGAATATTAACAATGTTTTCATTGTTCATTGGGGTATTTACGCGAAAGCTGCTGGAACCACGATTGTGTTAACCAAGATCCTGATATATCTGGGTTAACAACACAATCGAGTACCAAGAACATTCTATTTTCAGCAGGAACAATGATATGCTATGAGCTAAAAAGTTCCACGAATAAGAAGTGATGACAAGTCGGTCGTGATGAATAATTATTCCTCGAGTTTGTATATTAAAGTGAATCTAGGGTAATAGGATGAGCAGATACTTTAAAATAGTGTACAAAATATTCGTTCATAATCTTTGGAGGCCATTGCTATATTTACGAGACGTATCTTGTTTGAGCATCTAGCAAGTAGTCTATTGTTTAATACTACTAGATCGGTACTGAAGATAGGAAGAATCGTATTGAAAGACTCGCGTGATCTTATGATTTGGCTGAGGAGTTAGATTTAAATGAATCAAATTAAAAACAAAGAAAAGATTCAAAGAAAAATAGTAGATACACCTACTAGAAAACGTTACATAAATTGTTGTGCCAGTATCGAGCAAGCGTGAGACTTATTAATCGCTACCAGTTGTCGCAATCACAGTAATTAGATAATTTTATCGACAGATCTAGTTATCCATATGCTTATTCAAATAAAAAGAATAAAGCTAAAAATATATAAGAGAAATTACAGTTTCCTATATCTCTATCTATATATCTATATATAGTTTTTTATTTTCGTCCATAAACTTTTTGGTGTAGATCAAAAATACTTAGAATTTCAATTGCGAAACTTGAACAAGAAACATCCTCGTAGTTAGTGTAAAGATAATTATGTTTTAAATGCAGAGCCGATGTTAAAAAGTTACCTTCGAGATGTAAATTATTAAGGCTGAATTACATTAACTACCTGATATTTATGCAATATAATTTATACAACACATTTAGCTTTATGGAGACGTCATAATAAATTAAACATTTACTACATAAATTAGAGTTAAGCACGCAAATTCTGCGCGAGTATAATCGATAAATTGTGTTTGTTAAATGCAGGAAAGATGGATCCTCCATGCGACGAAGAACCACACTACATATCTAGGTGTCGAAACCCAAAATTCAAAAAAATTCTTCAGTTACTGCATCACGTGGATCAGAAAGTAAATTGCGAAGAAAATTTCCACGGGTTGGATGTCTTGGAAATTAAAATAATTTCCGTAGATTGTGAGTGGCGAGGCAGAGGCGTTGCCAAAGCGCTGCTAGAAAGAACACTGTAAGTCTCACTTTGTTAATTAAGTCTGTAACGAACACAGTGAATTAATTGCAATGTCATTTTATTAACTAAAATATTGTTATATATAATACATTATTCAACTAATATTTAATAATGCTTAACGGTATATAAATAATTTATTCGCGAAAATTTGTCTGTAGTGAAATTGGGAAAGAGAGAGGCTTTCAAATGGCACGTGCCGACTGCTCGTCCTCTTTTTCTGGGAAACTATGTGCACGAATGGGCTTTGAACGAGTCTACGAACTCAACTATGCGGATTATCTAGACGAAGATGGTAATCCTATCTTTTCCCCTGAATCGCCACATACAAAAATTGTTTCGTACATTAAGAGATTGTGAAAAGCGTCATAATACGTATTTGAAATCAGGTACCCGTTTAAAATCGAGTATAACTCAGAAACGCATTCCTATATCTACGTTATATTTTTCTTATTATCAAATATCCGTACACGTGATACATTTCTTTTCTGAATGTTTCTTTTCTTTTGTAAACATTTTTTTTTTCTATGAATTAATCTGATATCTCTATAATTATTTCATCGCAATGCCATAAAAACGAATTGTGCCAAAATATCAACAATAATAAAGTTTAAGAAATAACACGCACGTTAAGAAGTACACTTGATTTAAACAATAGATGAATATTGCATTATTAGCAGCATAAATAGATATATAAAAGTTACACGTCCTAATTTTATTGAATGTGTTTAAAATATGTATGAATTTGTTAGTATTCTGTTGTAATGAATTTATACACAAAAATAAAGATGACACATGATTTGTATATAAGCATAATTTCTATTATAAACAATTTTTTCATCTATAAGTACAATTTTTCTAATTTAAAATATGACCTATTCTACTTAAAAAATAACATTTTACAACACATGTATTACTTCGTGTAACACATTGTATGTTTTCATACAGCAAAATTTTTAAAAATTTCTCTACTTTACAATATGTAAATCCAAGTAAATATACCTTCACATGTGTTATTTATCATCCGTAGGCACGATACCTTCTGCCATCATTTTTTCCAACATTTCTAGCTTCTCTTCGAGTGTTTTATTTTCAAACTTTTTATTACTGTTCTCAACCTCTAGCATAATCTTATGACTCTTTCTTAATGCTGCATTTTGACTAGCATTTGACCATACTATAACACGTATCAATTGAATTAGTAATCCTATAGTCAGTAGGAACACCCACAATATAATTGCTTTTCTTTTCTCTGCTTCAGAAGGTTTTCTTCTATATCTTGGATAGTACATATTGTATACATATTGGTGACGATTATAAGATCTGAAAATGAATATAATTATAATAACGATTAAAAATAATTTTGGAAAATAATTCTTAAAATAAACGTAGTTCCTTTAAAAAATATACCCAGCATTCTGATAATAGTAATTTTCACGAATATTATTCTCCTTCAAACCAATATCATAACTATGTTTGCTCTGTTTGTTGCTTAAAATACTATAGGCTTCATTTATTTTCACAAACTCATCATGATTTCCCTTATTGCCACAGTCAGGATGCACCTAAAAAAATACTTAAATTACCATTTATTTGCTATATACTTTAAATATTTTAAAATACCACGAAATTAAACATAATTGGAAAAATATTTGAAATACATAAAAAAATGACTTATACCTGTTTAGATAATTTGATATAAGCGTCTCTTATTTCTTTTTGGGTTGCATTTGAAGAAATATGCAAAACTTCGTAATAATTATATTTACGTCTTTAAAAAGCATACTTAGCATTAACTGATACATGTATATACGTGAAATATGTTATTTTCAGATTCTAACCTTTGATTATAATTTCTATAGAAAACATGAATTAATGTAGGTACTTCAAATTTATACACACGAAAAATTTGTGCCATATCCTCAAAATCTTTTCTGCATATAATTGCAAACTTAAAAACAACAACGCGAAACACTATTATGATTCTACGACATTACTGAACTGAAGTTAGTGATGTTATCATGAAATTATATCGATGACGTTAAACTTTTGTACCAATTAACTTCGCCATATTTCTTTTTAAATTAACTTGTAAAATGAAAATGTTACAAAATGTAAAATAAATTATGTAATAACACATTCTGACCAAAAGATTCATGAATTAAATATTTATTAAAAACCAAATTCAGTTTTATAATATAACAATTCTCATTTACGTTTGGTGTATAGTATAAAATATATTACAATATGTATACAAGAAACATCCTTAATTATATAATAAGATAGGCCTCAAGCCCAGCTCGATGTCTATGCATTTCAGGTTTATCATATTACGCAATTTATGCAATATTTATTATGCGTTTTGTATAAGCTCTATTATTATCAAAAAAATTATTATGTACGTAATTTATATTGTATATCTTATGTACAAATTGTACGTTATGACAATGAATTATAATGCAAGCCTTTATTAAGAGATATGAGATTAACTAATAATGTATAAAACCTTCTTGCAATTTTATAAAAATTGACATATTACTTAGGTTTTATCTGATTATTGGCTTGCCACTGTAAATAATACTTTGAGTTCAAGTGCATTGGCACAAATAATTTTTGTTTTATATTGTATGTTGATTATGTATCTATTTTAAATGCATTATATAAAAAACATACATTCAGTTCGCTAAAGAGTTGCAATGTAATACATTAATACAATCACATTCTAATAAAATCTCTTATTAAAATAACGACTACAATTTGTAACTTCAATCAAAATATATAAAAATTTTTAATTATATTGCGCGCATGTACGCTATGCATTTTTATTTTTTTTATGTTTATGTCCTTAGTTCAATTTGTAAGAAGATCGTAAACGTATTCAAAATTTTCTATAATATTTGTTTACGAATATCTATATACGGTCTTCTCAAAATTCAAGATATACATATGCATAGGCAATAGAATAATTCACTTTTTTTTTTTATATAATTTGAGATAGTTTCAGTTTGCAAGAATTAAATTTGTCATTTACTAGTAGTAAAATATATACGTGTTTGTGAAGTTTTTTACTGTTTTTAACAATTTAAATATGAAGGCAAGTTATTTTTTTTCAAGCAATCTGAATGCTTTCAAGATCACTACATATTCAGAGTATGCCTACTCGTTCCTGTTTTCTTGTAAAGGGACATACGGATATTTCGGAAAATCTACAGCATCTACTGGATTTTTAACTTTAAAACTAGGAAATAATCCTGTCATACTAGTTCTAGTATTGTATCCTTTGGAATAACCGTCCCAATGATTTCCAAAAACTTCAATTAAATCTCCTACTTTCAATTCAATTTCACCCTCCTTTCTCGGCTTATGATCTAGAATAGCTTGATGAGGGTGTGGATTTTGACCACCATAATAGTAAATATCATCTAATGACGCGAAACGATTATAAGCGTCTGGATAATATGTTTGCATTAACTCATATGCTACACGGCACACTTGAGAACTGAACGTGCACACCAAATAATCACATTCGGATAAGAGATGTATATCGATAATTATTCCTTGTAAAGAAGAATCGGAATATCGTTTCGCAACTGAAGCTGTCTCTGCTATTTCTGGATCTCCTATTATTTCATAATTTGAATAACGATTTCTTGCCGTTGTGATCACTTTTGGATCATCGCTCGCTAGAAAAACTCTTCTCACTTCTGGTTTTGGTTCAAGTTCGTCGAAATATTGTTCAACTTTAACCATATATTCGTCTATATCGTGATAAGCAGCTTCAGTACCAACTTTATCCGTTCTCCGTACATGAACTCCAACAATAGGTTTTTTGAAACCTAGTTTTTCCTTGGCATTCTCTAATGTTCTTTTCACATGTTCTTGGGGTCGCATTAAATACTTTAAAACTTGTCCTACCCACCACACTAAGGGATGGCCATGAAGTTTCTCTAACCTTGAAGCTAAATCAGCTGGTACACTTGGTGGTTGAAACCTTGGTTTTGGATAAACATTATCCACAATTGGCAATGAAATGACTTGTTTAGATGAGTCACCAGGCCAGTTAGCATGTGATGCTCCAATTGTAGATACACAAGTCTCGCTAAGTGGTTTAAAGACTGATTCCCAACCATCTTTGTGATACCTCCAACCTTTAGATCTAATTATTAATGTTCGCTCTGTACCATAAGCAACTAAGAAACAATATGTAATATGATGAATCTAAAATACAAAATAATGTACAAAATTTCATTTGTAATGATTTATATAAATTCTTACATTTTATTTAAGATAATTTTTATTTACCTGACATCCAAATCCACAACCTTTGTTTAAACTGCAAACCAACTTTCTTGCTTTATTGCAATCACTAGGATTTTGTAAATGCCTGAATCTTCTTTGTACAAGATCAGATAATTCTTTTGCTTCCTTTTTACGCCATTCATCATAGCCATCTGCTTTCATTAATTTGTCAATGTCTATTATGAGAGATTTTTTATGATCCCAAACATTTTTTAATGTGTCCTGTATTTTTTTTTCTCTTTGTTCGTAATTAAGTTTATCAATAGTTTTCCTAAATTTACTTAGTTCTGCATTAATATAATACCTGTTCAAAATATTAAAGTACCGCATGTAACATTCCCATATTTTCATATACAGTGACAAACTATACCTTAGATGCTATATTTACCATGTCTCTTGAATATTATTTCTTATCATTCTTCTTAATTCTTCATATTCAGAAGAAGGGACACCGTGCTTAATATTATCCTGATGATCCAACAAATCATCATAAAGAGAAACTTTCTCAAGTTTTTCTTGTATTGAACCTAAATGGTCTCCTTGAATAGATTTTGATCTTTCTCTGGAAATTACGTTATCCTGTACAACGAAAAGATCACAGTGCTCTTTGTTTTAAACTTCAAATAAATCTGTCTGCTTTTATAATTTCTGGTATAAACTTACCCTAAAATTATATTTTTTAATGCTTCATTTTGTCTCTTAAGAATCTCAAAATCATTAACCATTTGAGCTAAACGTTGAGCATTTTCTTTATTTGTAGGACTCTCATTATTGGATGATAAATTATTAGCCTTAAAGATATGTGATACTGATATTATTAGTACCAAAAGCCATGTAGCCAATAATGCTATTCCTACTTTCCCTAACCAACCAGGTCTCCCTGACCAAAATGTTGCCATTTTATATTATGGTAATAGAATTATATTATATTTGATGAGTCGCATTACGTCATCTATAAATGTAAAATTATCACTCTTTTAATGGAAAATTGTATTACACGACAACTGTTATATAACAAAAGTAAAATATTAAAAGTACGTTGTAAGACAGTATTTTGTGAGTACTGAAAAGAGTTACTTGAACTCCTTTATCAGGCAATTAAGAAATATATATTGTAGGTGTAACTTCACAATAACAGTACAAATTATCCTCAATAAAACTAATTTATCAGTAGGAAGTATGAATGTACAAGGTAATACATAATGAAACAAAGTTAAAAAAGGAAGGAAAAATATAATACAAGACATATTATTAAATTATCATTGAAAACTTGACATTAACATGTTTTTATATAAACCACGAATAATCTTATGTTGACGAATTGAATAAAATATCAATCTTACCGTGTGCTTCAGCATTTCTATAAAAAGATTTCAAATATGAGATAGAGAACATTCGTTATCATCAACGTAATCATAGGAACAAGTTCTTTGCAACAAATTGTCAAATTTTTTTTCATGTGCGGGTACAGTCATTAAACACTGTTTCATATGGCAAGAGCAGACAGTGTGAGTTACAATTTACAATTCTTCCGCATACATTATGAGCCGTTTGCATTGGAGAGTTAAATGCTCTAACCATAGACTCTAACCAGTAGCTACATTGGTTTTACGATATTCAAACATGAATTTCTCGAATAAAATTATTACTAGCTATTTGTTCACTTAACAAATTAGCTGCACAATATCGTAAAGTATGTGAAATATTTTATCGACAGTATTACACGTACATTTTCAAATTATCCTCCAAACTATACAATTCGATTAATATTTAAGAAATCGATCATATATGAAATATTACAAGTGTGAACAATTAATTTTAAAACACGACTTTTATATCAGATGGCGGTAATATGCTACGTTTAAGTCTAACATGAAACATCGCTATCTATTCGTTTCATCCATGATTTTGTCGTATAACCTAGAATCTTGACACTTTAAGTACGGCGTTGTGTAAATGTGAAACGGACGATTAACGCCGAACAAAGTCTGCGAACTTTTGTTTAAACGTTAGTTTTAGTGTTATTAACGAACTGATTGCTGAGGTGAAAGTAGAAATCAAGTTGGAAGTTGCGATTAGAAAAAGCATGAAATTGACAGAAATAACGTATTGGTTTGGTATCGTGTCGCGGTATTTCTAAACGCGGGTTGGTTCTTTACCCTCCCCTCCCCTCTTGCCCTCCGAATCCCTTCTGAAAATCTCGTAGCATCCTTGCGCGCGAAACACGCGTATGCCGGTGGACGCACATTGTGTGCCAGTACTTCGATGTACATACCTGTGAATAGTGTATTTTAAGCTTTAGTTTTACGGGATGAGCGTGTGAAAGACCGAAGCGTACATAGTAACTGTGAAAATATCGAGTAGTATAGAAAGAAACGAACGATATTTGTCAATTGATTTCGACTATAGTCATCGCAGTAATTGAGGTAAAGCTTGTAACGTAAATCGAAAGAGGGAACACGTCCATTATCGTACCTGGTATAGTTTCGGGGAAAGGGATTTGTTAACATCAACAACGATACAAAGAATCTAATTTTACGAATCTTTTGGTTCCTCCCCCTCTCTACTTTCCTACCCTTAATTCCCTCTCGTCCGTTGATGAACAAGCAGTTGTCGTTTTTTGCATGTTTCACTTTTTTTTCTTCGGCATCCCCTCAGTTTCATTCGTCCGTCGCTGAAGCGGTTGTGTCGTTTGGTAAAACTCGAGGAGCCGTGTAGACTTAAAGTTGCATTCGGTTCGACAATTCTCTTTGTGTTCTCTTGTTCCCCGTGTCCGGCAGTGTTGTCAAAATTCCGGCAGCACCGCTGTATTCCAGCTGCCATTGCTGTACTGTCTAGCGTTCAATCACAGGCATTCATAAATACGATTCTATTTAGTGATTATTCTTGTTATCGTTGCCGTTCTCGTCGTCGTGGAAACAATGAAGATGTCACATTGTTAAGAGTCACACGTAGAACATGCTCGCAGAACATACATAGCGGGTGATTTTACCTTTAGCTCCAGACGCCGGTTCTGAGCGAGCTAACCTTCACAGTGAGGGAACATCTTATCTGTTTGATCATCGTTCGTCGGACCTGAAGCAGTGGTACAGATTGACAGAACGATGAAGTGGCTCGGTGCGAGTAGCGCTGGTGCTGCGGGTGAACCGGCACCTTCTATGCAATTGCACCATCCTTCCGCGAATGGACACATACCCACAGTAAGCACTTATCTTAATTTTTTCTAGTTTCCTGTCTCGTAATTAGTACACCGTGTAAAACGATTTAATGTTACAAAGTTTTGCTCGAATCGAAGTGTTCATAACCTATCATTTCATGTGTCTTCTAACTAAAATATTATTTTTCGATCGTTACTCCAGAAATTTACTATTGTACTTATTTATTTTTTATTTGGTATATTATTATTTAACGTAGAAAGTTATATTCTACTGTTGAAACATGAGAAAACAGTCCTTTATATTGTTCATATGCATAAATATTGCATATGCTTATGCTTTGTTTAATCCATCATGGCAGGATATTGTATAGAAATGAAGATGTTTTGGTTGCATTTATCAACTTGCTTACTCCAGTGAAACAAGACTAATCCTGCATACGTTACTAATTTCTTTGAACTGTAGGAATAATTATATGTGTTTTAATATCAAAAAGAGATTTTATTGTTTTATGTTCCTATTAGTTTTCTGATAAAGCATAGATAAAATACTAATATATGTATATTTTAGAGTACTGTGATACCATGATTGATTAAACAGTTATGACGTACTTTATAATATATACATTAGTTATTAACAATTTTATAATGATATCTTTAATAAATTTGATATGATAGTCCTTCTTTGTATGTACACTAGTAAACAATTACCTAGTAAACAATTTTCAGTAATTGTAATTTTTTTAGTAATTGTAATTTTTTTAGTATTATGTACTTCAAAATAATGTATTGATTTGTACATCTTAAGTTTATATCAATTCAAATACACTGATTTAAACTTGGATTTTATCTGCAAAAGTTATTATTCATTTAATATAACTATAAATTATCTATGAGGGTAATAAGGAAAATTTGAAGTAATGAAATAATTGTTTATTAATAGGATACAGAACAATGTGGGCAAGTAATGGCTGGTGGTGATAGTATGCGTATACAACCTGGTCAAACACATCAAATTGGTGTGAACAGAACTCAAGATGATGCCATGGTGGGTTACGTATTTCAACGACCTACGGAAGCAGAATTTAATGCCCAGTCCTCAGCTTTCCAAACAAAACAGGCACCACGTGCTTGGGCTCTTGCAGATGATGCTATTATTGATAATGTAAGCGTACAAAATATTTTTCAAGATATATTAGATGGTCTATTGTAGGAGAAAAAAGAAATTTGTAGACTTATGCTTTGATACTCCAAAAGTACTATAGATAAGTATATCTGTTGCTTTCATTTGATTGCAAATTTAAATGATTTATAGAATCCAGAAAAATGGAAATATCCCATTACTAAACTGAGTGTACCACAACAGAATCAACCACAACAATTGGGTCTGCAAACTATGAATAATGTTCATTTACCTTATGAAATCCATCCAATGCAACTTAAAGTAAGTTGTATATTACTTAATATCAAGATTAATAAAAAAAATATTCTATAATCTTGTACTAATATTTGCATTTTTTATTGTTGTGCAGAGTGGAGCACCAGGAACAGAACATTTAGTTTACCTTAATAATCAAATGACAGCACAGCAACAAGTTGCCCTCTTTCATCATCAACAGCAGCAACAACAACAACAACAATTCAGAAATGGCCAGGTAAGCATAATTATCATTTCAATAGCTTTAGAATATATTAGAATTAGAGATTGGATATTTGAGATATGTTTACTCAATGTTTTATATTAGTGTCATTGAATAGAATGTCTGTTTGTGTGTGTGCCTGTGTGTCTGTGTATATATATATATATATATAAATGTATATATATATATTTATCAATGGAAATGTGATCAACTTTATAATGAAGATATGTCTATATCCAAGAAACAATGCATTGAAATACGTATCTCTTTCCTCGTCCGTACGTATATATTTGGCTTAATATTGAAATGCATATAGTTTTGACCGTCATATACCTAAATTTTAATGTCAATGATGCTGTCATATATATCATATCAATCAAGAAATTTTAGGCGTTTTTATCATAACTTTCTCAAAATTTACTATATCGATAATATTTAAGTTTAATTTCCATGTCGCGTAATCAAGATTAATAAAACAGATTGACTTTTGAGTCTTTTGAAACATAAAACTAATTTGGGTTATATCCAAACAAATATCTTCGGTATTTTTTTATGAAAAAATATTTTATAATTTAATAATTAAACATTATCGTCTATTGGTTCATAGTTTCGCGTTGTTGTTTATTATCTTTCGATATAATTAACGCATTCGATTTAGTAGGAGTTTAAATCTTGTACTACTAGTTGTCTAATTAGAGAATGTCATTGACATTGTCGGTAGTAGTTATCAATCGACTAAATAGAAAGTTTAATCGATGCGTAGGTCTCCTCGACAAAACAGTGTCAGGGCCAAAATTTGGCGATTCAAACTACGACATTTAATTACGTAGGAAACTAGTCGAAACACAGACTTGTATTTTAAAAGAGTATGCGTTATATTATTTATTTTTTCATTACAATTTTCAAGGAAATATTCTACTACATTTTTAAATACGTGTTTATTCTAAATAGGAGATATTTCTTTATAATAATGATGTAAACTGTAATTTTCAATTTTCAATTTGCCCTTTTTGTTTTTAAATATCTACTTTATTCATTATTTTTTTCCTCGTTCAAGTTTATTTTTGTAAACTATAACGAATGCAGGCATTTGTTAACGTTAATGGCTTTTGTACGCGGTAAATTACATCGCAGATTTTTTTTATCGTTATAGTTTCTATCTTAATCATAGATGAAATTTGTAGAAAATAGAAAAAAATGTTTTAGTTTCTAGTTTTCTTTAGATATATTTGATATATTTTGAGAATAATCTGTGATAATCGAATAAGAAACAAAAATTTATTTCTTCTGGTTAAGATCATCTGGCATTGTGTTAAAACAGTTTTTGAAAATTCGCGAACGTATATACGTTAGGTTTGGGATAGTATTGTCCTTCATTCGTGGCGTTAATACTTAGTCGGGCCAGGTAAATTTACTAAGCACAATCAAATTTTCATCCGGTCGTCGTGAGAGGTCGTGCAAAGTAAAAAGGACGATGATTGGTCAGTATCTTTCGCCAAGCGGAGAGTAACTGTCAAAATGCTCGGTAGAGGGCATACCATTCGAGCGTCGTTCTTTGTTTCGGTTAAGAGGGCAGTCTCTATCGAAGAGAGAGGCCGGTTAACGAAAATTCGAGGAGAGACGACAAGTAAGAGCATCGTGACGCCGAGCGTTGTTTCAACGCCCGATAACGACGCGTCTTGCGATATGTCAAGACGGACGTGAATTTAGGCAAGAACACGTAATCGACTTACTCCCCCTGTAAATAAATAAACGCGTATTCGCGGAGTGAGTGTGCAAAGTGCGCGAGAGGAGAAAGGAGGTGGAGGAGGTGGCGGCGGCGGTGGCGGCGGCGACGGCGGCGGCGG